CCTGCCATACCGGTGAGTGCAGATTATCATTTAACTTTGTATTCCATGTAAAACATTTATAAATCTCTAATAAAATTCAAGTCCTGTTTAGTTCACATGATACATGTATTTTTATTCATGTGAAAGTCACTCAGTGAACAAGACTCTGAACCAAAGTTATGTATTATTCCACAAAACAGGACGTCATAGTTCATGTTTCCTCCCATTGCCTTCCAATGTCCTTGACCTGACCTTGACCTGAAGATTGCATGTCTGTGGATGAAAGGATAGCTCATTTTCCATACTCATTCCAAACTCTTTGCTGCGGCTGTCACACAAACAGGTCAACTGTGGCAGTGTCTTTATTGTGTGGATGTTACTGGCTCAGAATTTCCCATAGCTCTCCAGAAATACACCAAACGATTTTGTCATTAAGGGCCATATTATCTTCTGTTGGACACTTGGGTGCCTACAGGCTAAGAGGACTTGGGTGCCTAAGTGCAATTGTGTTCCACCCTACTCAAGTCCCTGAAAAATAGCTAAAGCAGATGAATGGATCCTCTTCCTCCTCTAGGTGAGTGGATCTTTTTCCTCCTCTCTGCTTTTTGTGACTCAGTCTGAAGGATTAGATGAAGGTAGGTTACAGAAATACATGCATTAATGAATTTTCCAGGATTTAAACAGGGTGGGATGGAATTGAACTTGGGTACCTAAATCCACTCAGATGCCTAATAGGTTGCTCAGAACCTGGCTTTCAGAGCCTGTAAAGGATACCAAAAATCTACAGAGACAGGAGAGTCTTCTGTACCTCCTTTACTTACCTGCTTGAGTCCTTTGTCAAGGAACCCATCTTAATTTTCCACGTAAAAAACTCTGCTACAGCGTGGAGGGGGAAGAGTTGTAGAAGTTGTCTTGAGAGAGAAGATAAAAAGGGGTGGAGGAATTGAATCGTGTGAGGATGGAATGGGACAAATGGGGGAGAAAACAGGCATGGAAGTCCATGATGGGTAGGCAGCTGAATCTGGAGAGACAAAAAAACCATAGCCAGTTCCTCCTTGGTAGCTGGCTGAAGGGAGTTGCTGTCTCTGTGTACTGAGATGAGGAAAGGGCAGAGGAGCAGAGAGAACTATTTAGGCTGGAAATTACCAGGAGGTTCCTAAATGTTAGAGCAATGACATTCTGGAACGGCTTGCCAGTTGAGATAGTGGGGACAAACAAGGTAACCAGTTTTAGGATGCTGCTTAATACTTTGTGAGGTGATTTATGATAGCATGGGACGGAACTTGGTGACTCAGAAGGCCCCTCTCGCTCCTATGAAGTTGTTTTGTCTTGACGAGAATAAAGTCTTGTTTTGCTAGTAAAAGCACGGCTCTCTTTTTACATTAAATGTCTTCCCTTCCCCATAGATATGCACGCTGTTGAAATGTAAGAACTCGGACTTGAAAACTTGTGGGCAGCCAGTGGCTACTGCTCAGACAAGGTTTGAGGCGTTTTCTCTCAGTGGCACATTTGGCACTAGATATGTCTTTCCGGAGGTCTTGCTCAGTGGGGTTCAACTAGCACCAGGAAAATTTCAGGTATGGAAATTTGCTTCTGTCTGCCTTTTCTTGGGCCTGGTAGTGGAGCAGAACTAGTCATTGCAACCAAGTCCAAGCAAAGCTGAGGAAAACTTGCTCGTGGTGGGAAGTCAGATGTGTATGGTGCCCTTTTAGGAAGAGATTAGGCTTGTATGTCATAGTCCTAAAACACCCAGTATTAAACGGTGTCCCCTAAACGCTTACGTTTTAAATCCTAAATGCATTGTATCTCTTGTATCTGCTGATAATATTAACTGTGTTCTCTTAACTTCTTCTTTAATTAGGTGTTAAGCGATGGGCGTTTGGTTAGTCGGCATGGAATATCTGAACCAGTCATCACAGTGACACTTTTTGGGAGGTGGTATGAAAAGGATCCCCCACAACCATAGCAAGCTTCCCTATATGGCTATAGTTGAGGCTATCTACCATTACAGTCTTGTCAGAATAAGTTTCTCTCTTAATGCTTTAACCATTCCTATATTGCTTGTTTCCTATCACGAAAACTTCTAATTGTGTTTTGTTTGATAAGTATAAACATTATATTTCTTTGCTATTATGTACTATCAAATAAATCAGCTATCCCAATCATTGTTACTGTTGACCTTTTATCAGTTTTAAATGCCTATGCCTTTGGCTCAATGATATCTGGAATTTGTTTTTCCTAACATCCCAGAAGTTAGACAAGCTTTTGAATGCCTGATGAAGAATACCTTGCATTCAAAGCTTGTCTAACTTTATTCCAACCGTGCAGTTGGTCCAATAAAATATATCACACCAAAATATCCTTGCTTCTAGCATACATTTTATAATTTTAGAGAATTCTGCAACTAGTAGGGAAAAAAAACGTAGTGGGTTATTTCTGTGTAAGATGCAAGGACATAGATGCTAGACTTATGCAGTCAGTTAAGCTAATCAACCAGTACACAAGTGAGTTCTGTAAAGCACATCTAGCAGGATGCTAGAGATTTTTGTCCTGTCTACTTGTCAGGAGTGTAAGGCCATGGGCATAGAAATCAAGACATTTTGATAAATCAGCATATATTATCTAAACCAGTCATCACAGGTAGGGACATATGTAATGTTTGTAGGGCCTCGTCAGCCTTTAAAACTCCCTAAAAATTAGGATACAGGTGACGCACAGCAATAAGCCACTATTTATCATCCTGAAAAAGGATCACGGATAAAAGACAAACAATTTTGAAGTGTGTCACTGTTAAGTGTGCCACGTTATATTTGTGCCCTCTAGTGTAACAAAGGTGGTCAGGCTCCAGTCTCACCTCTCTTACTGAAAACCCTGCTCACTGGCTGAATCAGCCTTGGTGGCCACATCCAGATGAGCATGGACGTGTGGTATGTGGTGCTGCAGACCCATCTGCAGCACCACACACTGCCTGTGCAGGTGTTCCCCCTTTGCTACCTTGCAGTGTCATGGGTTATTTTGACCCTGGGAGATCCCAGGGTCAAAAAAACCCACACAGAAAAAAGTGGGGCAGCGCACATGGTGGCAGCACGCAGTGCCCAAAACCAGAGCCTGGCTAGCTGGAGCCATGCTGCAGCTGCCAGCCAGGCTTCCTGCTGCCAGAGCACTTTGGTGCAGTTTGGTAAGGCTGCTGGGGCCAGCACAGTTGCTAGTCTCAGACTCCCTTATCCCACCCAGGGTGACCTGCTGAGTGCCAGAGTGTGCATGGCATAGGCATTCCCTGGGGACAAGTAGCAGCAGTGCAATGCTGCTGCTACTTGTCCCTGGGGAAAGAAATGCTCCCAGTCATCTGGACGTGCCCAGAATGTCCAAGGATCATCTACCTCTGATTTAGTCTCAATAGATTGACTGCTCTGCCAAGTCGGTGTCACTCAGTGATTTAGCTCAGCTTTGAAGTCAGATCAGCGGTGCTGCTGCCACCCTTGATGGTACAGAGGAATGGAACATGGAATCATTTCTTCACCAATCATTTCTTCCAACATGGAGTCATTTCTTCACCATTTTCTGCAACCAGTTCAGTTGGTTCTTGCCAGAAAGCCAGCTCTCTTCTGCTGCTGTGGACCTGATTAGGCCTCTTCAGAGGCTCAGAGTTCTGCTGTACTATTGGACCAATCACATCACCCTGTGCAGGTGGTTTTGCTTCACCAAAATGGCCAAACCCTTCACGGTTGTCATTCAGATTTTGCCATACAAAGCATAGGGACTTGAGATTGGCAGCCTTGTGTCTTTAATACCTAGTCTTGTGCTTTTATGGTGACTCCATACCCAGGACATATTAAATAGAGTGAGGATAGATACTTATTATCACATACACACTAAGGGTGCCTGTACATAGATTCCATAGACATTAGGGCTGGAAGGGACCTTGTAACAGCTTGGGTCTGGTCCCCTGCCCAAGGGGCAGGAAGTTAGCTAGGGTCAAAGGATCCCAGCA